CTGTGGTTATTAAGTATCAGAACCAAATCATAGCTGACCCTCTGGCTGTAAATTGCATAGGAAGAGATTGCGCGTCATTCTCCCGTGGAACAGTTGGTGGATTTGAACCACCTGCCTTGGGGTTGACAGTGCAACTGTAAGAAAATGTAAACAAGCCAAACCAGAAGCTCCTTTGCTTGTCTACATCCTCTGTATGCTCCATAACAACTATACTACTTTGTTATGAGCATTGCATTATTTAGTTTAATTCTTACAATCACTGTACGAGTTAGTAAAGCAGACTCCAATTCTATAAATGGAACACACATTGTTGCTGTTGTTGTTATGTGCCATCGAGTCACTTGTAACTCATAGCGACCCTATGTACAAGAGCCCTAAATGCCGTTCTATCCTGCGCCAACCTCACCATCTCCAACACACTCACTCCTACCACTCCACTCACAGAATCGATCCATCTCATTGAGGGTCTTCCTCTCCTTTGCTTCCCCTCCACTCTCCCAAACATGATGTCCCTCTCCAAGGACCAGTCCATCCTTGCAACATGCCCAAAGTATGTCAGACGAAGCTTCAGAATCCTTGACTACAAGGAGCGTTCTGGCCTCACTCTCTCCAGGACAAACCTGTTTGTTCTCCTAGCAGTCCGTGGTATATTCAACACTCTTCTCCAACACCACAGCTCAAAGGCATCAATTCTCTTTCTATCATCCCTAGTCACTGTCCAACTCTCCAATGCATAGGCACGTAATTGTGAAGACGGTAGCCCAGATCAGGTGCACCTTAGTCTCCAGCCTGACGTTGCTGCTCCTCAGTACTCTTGAGAGGTCCCTCACAGCTGCCTTTCTCAACGCAATTCGTCTCCTGATTTCCTGGCTGCTGTTACCAAGAGTGTTGACTGTGGAACCAAGTAAACTAAAACTGTTAACTATCTCAATCTCTTCACCATTCATACTGATGCTGCCAATTGGCCCAGTGGAACATACATAGAATCAAATTTTTTTATAATATAAATTTAAGAGTTAGTGGAAATCCTGATGTCTCTCAAGGGACCAGACAAAGCAGCCTTTTAGAAGAAGTACTCTTGAGGCTTTTGGGGGTAGTGGATGTCGAAAAGAACACAAAACTTCCCCTCATCTCTGCATTAAGATTTTTACATTTACCAGAATAGTTGTGGAGTCAAGGGTTAAGCACGCTTGCAATACAGGAAAATTTCTTAGAAGGCTCTTCTGTTTCAGCATGCTGTAGTTCTTAAGAGTTTTTAAAAAGGTCCAAGAGAAGTTGCTTTAGGAGCTGACTTCTGAACTAGGCTGACTCTGTCTCACCACTGGACTGATAGGCAACATCATAATAGATAGATAAAGGATTGAAGCTGTCAACAACTTTGTCTTACTCGGATCCAAAATTAATACACTTGATACCAGAAGTCAGGTGATCAGGAGAATCAGGAGATGTATTACACTGGAAAAACCTACAGTCAGAAACCTCTCCAAATACTGAGGAACAAAAGATGTTTGTGTGAGGACTAATGTGTCCCTGATTCAGGCCATGATCTTTTCAATCACTTGCTATGTATCTGAGAGCTGGAAAATAAATAAAGATGACAAAGGGAAGAATTTATGCCTTTGAGTTGTGGTGTTGGAAAAGAGTACTGAATATCCCACAGACTGTCAAAAGAACAGATACATCTTAGAAAAGGTGCATCTGGAGTGCTCCCTGGAGACAGAGATGATAAAGTTTTGCATCACGTACTTTGGATGTTTTGTTAGTAGAGGCTATTCCTTGGAGAAGGACATCATGCTTGGAAAAGTGGAGTTTCCGTGAAGCAGAGGAAGACCCTCAATCAGATGGATTGATACAGCCGCTGCGGCAATAGGCTTGAGTGTGTCGGAGATTATGAGGATGGCACAGAGTCGGACAGGGTTCAGATCTGTTGTTTGTAGGGTTGCTATGAATTGAACTTGGCTTGATGGCACCTAACAGCTAACAGAATGCTTGCACAGTCTTAGAGGGATGGATTCATGAGAGATGCTGAATGCTTTATTTTGTTTTGGGGTTACAATAAGAATAATTATGATTGTGTCTGTTATTGTCAAAGTGAGTCCAGTTTATTGTAAACACATACGTGTTGCAGAGGTGAGCTCAGTGGGTGTTCTTGGATATCATCTTTGTATAAGGATGGCTTTCCATTCATACTACTGCCAGGTGGGTTTGTGTTAGCAGTGAAGTACCATTTACCTATAACACCTACGATTACCTGGTGGATTTCAACTGCTGAACTTTTGATTAGCAATCTAACTGGTTGTTGACAAATACTTTCATTCATCCTGGTTAAGACGCATGCCAGGAAGTTACAGAAAGTGGGGTGCTGTGACTAAGGGGATTGAAAGCCCAATGTCAGTAATTTTCCCAGAAATTCTTATATGTCAAGTCATGTATTTTATAATGTTGATTTCCATAACAGTAAAATAAAAGCTCAGTTTATATAGGACTGGGATGTATACCCTAATAAAAACATAGAAATGCAAGGTAGAAGTGAGAATGGACACTACCTAGTAAAGACTTTGTTAGTGAAGTGACAAAAGGCTTTGTTTCTTGGCTCTTGATTTTTTTTTCTTGAGAGTCCGCTAATTCAGTACAACCAATGGAACCAAAGGGCTCTTGAGTTAAAATTGAAACACTCCTTCTCTTTGCTTACACTCTATTGTTAACTGGAAACAGGGCGCATGCCATCACTCACTGTACTCACGTAGAACCTGCAAGTACACCAAAAACACCTCATAGGGCAGAACAGCGCCATGTGTGGTTTGAAATCAGGAAGGGTGTGCTGCGTCAGGGTTGAATCCTTTCACCACAGTTATTCAGTCTGTACATTGAACAAATAACCTGAGAAGCTGGACTATAACAAGAACACAATCTTGGGATTGCAAGGAGACTTATTAACCTGTACTATTCAGATGGCATGACTGTAGCTTGTTGAAAAAGAAGACCCAGTGAATGTCCTGGTGAAGATCAAAGACCTTCAGTGAAGATTACATACCTCCACACAAGAATGTAAAATTCCTCACCAACAAACAACATCACGATTTGACAGGGAACTACCGAAATTACCAAAGATTTAGTTTTACTTGGATTTACAATCAGCACTGTGGGAACGAGCATACGTTAAGAAATTGAATGATACATCATGTTGGGTAAACCTACTGCAAAAGACCTCTTTAAAATATCTAAAAGCAAAGATGTCACTTTGAGGATTAGGTATATCTGGCCCAGTGATATTTTCAGTCACTTCATGTATATGTGAATACTGGAAAACTGAAGAAAAATCAATGAATTTGAATTATGGTGTTCACAAAGCGTGTTTCAAATACTCTAGACTTCCAGAAAATGAACAAATATGAAAGATTTGCTTGAAAGACTTGCAACCATTTTGCTCCTGAGAAGCAAGGGGTGGGGACACTTTGTCTCACCCACAGTAATAGATGGAGAAGAGATTGAGACTGTTGACAGCTTTAGTTTGCTTGGCTCCACAATCAACACTCTTGGTAGCGTCAGCCAGGAAATTCAAAGATGAATTCCACTGGGAAAGTCTGCTGTCAGAGACCTCGCCAAAGTACTAAAGAGCAACAGTGTCAGTCTGGAAACGAAAGTGTGCCTGATAAATGTCATAGTCTTTGCAATTACTTGCTATGCATCAGAAAGCTGGACAGTGAATAGGGATGATAGAAGGAGAGTTGATTGATGCCTTTGAGCTGTGGTGCTGGAGAAGAGTATTGAATATATATACCATGGACTGCTAGGAGAAAAAACAGTTTTGTCCTGGAGAGGGTGAAACCAGACTGCTCCTTGGAGGCAAGGATTCTGAAGTTTAGTCTGACATACTTTGGACATGTTGCAAGGAGGGACCAGTTCTTGGAGAGGGGTATCATACTTGGGAGGGTGGAGGGATAGCTCAGGAGAGGAAGACCCTCGATGAGATGTATTCATTCAGTGACTAGGGTAATGGGGGTAGGTGTGTCAGAGACTGTAAAATTGGCACAGGATAGAGCAGGGTTTAGGGCTGTTGTACATAGGGTCGCTATAAGTTGCAGGTGACTCAACGGCACATAACAACAACAACAGCAGCAACAATATCAACAGCAATGAAAGTAAGGATGACAGAAGAATTGACACCTTTGAGCTGTGATATTGGAGAAGAGTACTGACCATCCCGTGGATGGTCCAAAGAACGGACGTCTTTCAGGGAAAGTGCAGCCAGCATGCTCCTTGGAACCAAAGATGGTGAAGCTTTGTCTCTTGTATTTTGGACATGTTTCTGGAAGAGGCTATTCCTTGGAAAGGAGCATCCTTAAAAAGGTTGGCGGTTCAGCAAAGGAGAGGAAGCCCCTCAATGAGAAAGAATGACACACTGACTGCAGCACTGGGTTCAAGTGTGTTAGAAATGATGAGGGTGATTCACGGTAGGACGGAGTTCAGGCCTGTTCCTAGAATTGCTATGAGTCGTACTTGACTTGACTGCACCTAACCACAACAATAAGTTCACACTTTTTAAGTTATTAGGTTATCAGGAGGGACCATTTCCTGGAGGAGGGCATTATGCTTGGTCACATAAAAGGTTAAAAATGAGGATGACTCAGGGTGAGTGTGACTGGCAGAGTGACACAGACTTAAATGACCGTGACAATGGTTCAGGACTGGTAACATTCTGTCCTGCCCTACATGGGGTCAATGTGAGTTGGCACAAACTTGAGGGCACTTAACAACAGCAATGTTTTCTAGATACTTTCCTCCTGAGCTAAAGAGCCAGAATGTCAAGTTCTGCCGCCACTGAAGGATCAATTGTGTAGACCATCCTCTCACTCCAGCACACAGACCACGGGGCCACTGACACACATTTTGGGAAAATGTGCTCCCATTTGTGCTTTCTGAATCCATTTTGTCAGTTTTCTCCCCCAAATAAATGGATTTTCAAATAGGGTTCAACAAGTAGAAACATACTAACTTACCAGACAAGAGGAAAATATCTTCGAAGCTGACACAGAAAGCGAGCCAGAAATAATGAACTGTAGAAACAGAGAGAATTATTTGTCAAGTTGCAAGGTTCTCGGTTTCACTCTGCGAACAGGCCTCACTTGATATGAAAGGTTGATCCTATTACATTCATCTACTTTTCCTCTCAAATCCTCTTTTCATATCCTACCATTTTCTTGAGTAACTTTCAGGGAAATTCCTTAACTTCTTTTTCTTTTGTTTTCCTTTTTGTTTCTTATATATGAAGAACTCTTGTTCTTCTGTAAGCTTACCTACTTTTCTTGCTTTGATGATTCCCAAGCGTCCTACTCAACCTCTTCTCCTGATAACTTGTATATTTTCCATCATGTTGCCGATCATGCCCTTTTGTAAACCCAAACTCCCCAAACACATACCTTGTTTTCATAATACAATGCAACAGGGGACTCAAACTTGGACTTGCTGGTTTTAAGCTGCAAGTTAAAATGCAAACCCAACATTCTCTCTTTTGGAGCCCTTGGTTCCATTCTGTTCTCCCAGCTAATAAGGTGCTGGGCCTACTGAGCAATCAGTTGGCCACAGGGGGATATATTTCTGCATTTTGAAACTCGGATGGGGAGGTGTTCCAGCTTTACTTACCGAGATGCCGCCCCAGAATGTGTATCCGCTAAGAAAAGAAAGAGAGGCAAAACCCAAGGCTGTTACAGAGCTGAAGCTCAACGAACCCAGAGTAATCCCGAAGCCAATGTGCATCAATCCAATAATGATCTGGATGCCCTGAACAAAGAAAGCACAGACAGGGGATGATTGCGTCATTTCCAGGCCCGTGAAATCGTTTGGTCGTTGGTGCTGCTGCTCAGTTGTTAACTTTGGCACGGACCCTGCTGTCATTTAGGTAAACCTCGGCTGCAGTAGAGGGACTGTTGAGACTCAGATGCGGATAGAATGGCTGGGGAACCAACATTTGCTTCGGGAATTTGGGAGGCCTGCCAGGGGTGGCCCTGCAAGTGTCCTGCAGGAGGTCCTACCAATAGGCACTCATTTGCATGCCCTGGAGGAGCCCTAGTGGAACAGTAGCTCTTGGCTACTAAAAGGTCAGTGGTTTGAACCCAGCAGCCCCACTGTGTGAGAATGAGTATTGTTTTTATGTACCTTGGCGTTGGAACGGACTCGAAGCAGACCCGTAGTGGGTTTTCAGAAGCAGTGAATCTCACTGGAGGAGGCCGCCCATCTTTCTCCCACAGAGCAGCTGGTAGGTTTGAATCACAAGCCTTTGGGTTGGCAGTGCAAATCCTTGCCACTAAGCCACCAGAGTTCCCTCCTTTACAGACTGTTATTGTTGTGTACCAGTGAGTCGGAAGTGACTCATAGCTGAATCTCCGCGGGTTGTGCATCTTTCTCCCACAGAGCAGCTGGTGGACTCAAACCTCCTGCCTTTGGGATGGCAGCGCAGCTTCAGCCTTGGAAACCCTAGGGGGCAGGTCCACCTTCCAACATATTGGGGTCACTTGACCAAGGTTCGTCATTTGAGTGTAAAATCCACTTGCTACTTTGGGGTCACAAAACCATTTAACGTCCCATGTTGCCTGGTATGAAAAATTGTGCCAGTCATTTGAGGACCCCTGTGCTAGTGTGCAGAAAGCCAGGGGGGATTTCTAATGGTGTGGGTGCACAGTCTTCAGCCAAAGGAAGTCATTTCTGCCAACAAACTAAAAACCTCACTGCTGTTGAGTTTTAACCAGCTCCTAGCTGACCCTCCTTCGGGTTTCTGAGGCTGTAAATCATGTGGGAGGTGATGGCCTGACCTTCTTCCATGGAGCCATCGGTGGATTTGAACCTCCAGAGAGGCACAGTGCTTCTGGGTTAGTGACCCAGTTGCTTCCCTGTGGCCTGACCATGCCTCCAGAGCTCCATTCTGCTAAGAGGAAGTTTTGAAAAGCAAAACTGCCTTTGTCCTTTTAAATTCTTTTACTGAGCACCTCTTGGGTTCCCGGCAGACGGTATTGATGGCTCCTCTGTGCTAAGGGGAAAAGGTGGGCCTTCCTCTTTTCTGCCAGTCTTCCTGGTCTGGCCACGTCATCTCGCTACCTTGTTTCAGGACTTCTCTCTTCCTTCTTGCTCACTAGAATCAGTTTTACTGGCCTCCTCCCTGCTCTTCAAACATCACATGCATTGTTGTCCCAAGATTTTTATGCTGCCTGGGCCTCCTTCCTGGAGTCTGTGTGACTCGTTCCCCACTTCCTTTGTACCTTTGTATCACATGTCATCTTCGAAGGGAAGCCTGCCGTGCCCAGTTAGTAATGGTTTCACTGCTTGGTGCTTCTTGTACTTCTCATACTGCCTTAGTTGTCACTGTGGCATTTTTATCACCTTCTACCACACTTTACTGCTAACCAAAAGATTAGCCGTTTAAAACCCTCCAATTACTCAGTAGTAGGAAGTCTACCTTTATACAGATTATAGCTTCGGAAACTCAGTGCAACTGTTCTGCTCTGTCTTTTAGGGTCACTGTGCACTGGAACTCACCCACGGCAAGGAGGTTTCAATGTATGATGCCATTTCTTTGTTAGTTATAATCTCATCATCACACTGGGGCATAGCTCCGTAAGGACTGACTAGGCCTGCATTACTGCTGTTGTTGTGACGTGCTGTCAAATTGATTATGACTCACCGTGACCCTTTAAACAAGAGAATGAAATCTTACCACCCTCCCTAAGGCCACCAGGCGCAAGCCTGTGCGTACAGTCACAGTGTCTGCTCATCTTCTTCAGCCCCTGTTTCTCTCTTTCTGACCCACTGTAATTCCCAGCATGTCTTTTTCTACAGACTGTCTGTATTAGTGTCTGACATATTCGCTCACACCGGAGTGGGGTTGACTGTAGAGGGTCCTAGTTTGTTCCATTTGCTCCCCAGGACGGAATTCTGCCCACTGCCCTCTATCTGGTAGAGGGAGGATTTATCCAGTCTTCTTTCACCTACAAAGGGGCTGACAGCTTGGCTAAAGCTTAAACTTGGGTGCTCACTTATATTTCTCCAAACCATCAAGCCATCGTAATGTTGTTGTTGTTGTTATGTGCCGTCGAGTCGCCTGTGACTCATAGCGACCCTATGTACAACAGCCCTAAACTCCGCTCTGTCCTGTGCCAATCGCACCATCTCTGACACTCCCATCCCAATTATCCCAGTCACTGAATCAATCCACCTCATAGAGGGCCTTCCTCTCCTGCGCCATCCCTCCACCCTCCCAAGCATGATGTCTCTCTCTAAGGACCGGTCTCTTCTCACAACATGTCCAAAGTATGTTAGACAGAGCCTCAGAATCCTTGCCTCCAAGGAGCCACCTGGTTTAACCCTCTCCAGGACAAATCTGTTTGTTTTCCTAGCAGTCCATGGTATTCTCAATACTCTTCTCCAGCACCACAGCTCAAAGGCATCAATTCTCCTTCTATCCTCCTTGGTCATTGTCCAACTGTCTGATGCATAACAGGTGATTGCGAAGACCATGGCCTGTATCAGACGCACCTTAGTCTCCAGAGAGACACCACTGTTCTTCAGCACTTTGGAGAGGTCCCTAACAGCAGACTTTCCCATGGCAATGCGCCTTTTAATTTCCTGGCTGCTGGTGCCAAGACTGTTGACTATGGAGCCAAGCAAACTAAAGCTGTGTACAATCTCAATCTCTTCACCATCCATCCTGATGCTGCCGATTGGTCCAGTGGTGAGAATCTTTATCTTCTTGACATTGAGCCTCAATCCATATTGTAGGCCATCGTAATATTTTATCTAAAACCATAAAACTTTATAATGGCAGTAAGATTGCTAGAAGAATGCCTTCCACGTAGCTGACCATTCACTAGAACTTCCTGAATGCTCCAGCAGAGAGGTTAGGCTGCTCACAGGAAGAGACCGAGTGTAATTCGGTAAATTGTGGTGGGGTTATGGGTGACATATCCGCCTAGCACAGAGACTAACAAAATTATTATCTGGGTTTGTGCAATGCTTGTAAGTAGAGCATGTTTCATAACACCTGGGAAACAAGACCCCGAGTGTGTTCAAAGTGTCCCTTGCAGGAGTGAGGTGGTATAGTTGTGGTTGTTGGGTGCAGCTGGGTCAATTTTGACCCACAGTGATCCCATGTGACAGAGAATGCCTCATAGAATATTGTAGGCTGTAATTGTGCCGGACACATGTCACCAGGTCTTTCTCCACAGAACCTTTAGGTAAGTTCTTTGACTCTAAGCCTTCCCCAGAAAGGAAGGGCCACTCATAGTTTCTTACCCTTCTTAGAAAACCACTGATGTTCATTGTAATGTGACTTCATGTGCACACAAGCATTGAGATTGTAATCAATCCAGAGGCAGGACTGAGGGCTACCACAGAGTCCTTTGCTGAAGTGAGGTCAAATGAGAAGTAGCAACGCTCTCTGAGTTAACATCATGACTCACCGGTGTTGAGTCGAACCAACCTACAGCTGACCCTCCACTGGGTTTCTATGGGAAGCCAATTCTAAATGTTTGCAATAAACCGAATGCTATTTCAGGATGTGGGGGAGGTGTGGTTTAAGCTGGAGTTCACCCTGAGGCACCAAGGCAGTGGATTCTTGCATTGTATTTGCTGAACCCTCCCTCCTGAGTCAAGGAAGATTTTCAATAGAAAGAGCTTGGCTTCATTTGCCTTGAATTCTCTTTGTGATTGACTTCCTGGTAATTTTCAATAAAGATACAGGGAAGCTAGAATCCAGGCCTTCAGACCTTCAGACCTTCAGTCAAGGAAACTGTTGGCCTCCTGTCTTTACTCTCTCTGTTTTATCTCGTTCTGGGTTGCCTGTCTCATTAGAAAAATACTTTACCCTCGGCCTGTAACAGGTTTCCAAGGCTGTAAATAGTACAAGAGGAGATTGTCTTTCTCTTGGGGAGGTTTCAAACCCCCAGAGAGGTGTGACCTTTGGGCTAGCAGTGTAATCCTTACAAACTACATCACCAGAACTGCCCTGTTGTTCCACTGCTGTTGCTGTGTACCACTGAGTCAGAACCAACCAATAGCTGACCCTCTAGAGGATTTTCAGAGGCAGCAAATGACGCAGGAGGAGACTGTCCATCTTTCTGTTGTGGAGCAACTAGTGGATTTGAACCATGTACCTTTGTATTGGCAGTGCGATTCCTTACCATGAAACCGCCAGTACTAGATGGGGGTTATTTGGCACCTGATAGCTTCTTACCTGAATCTAAAAGAAGATGAATTCTGTGTAGAGTCTACATGCAAAATAATAATTTCTGTCTGAGCTTTGTAATGATTGGACAGTACATCCTGATGCTCATAAATGTCTTCAGGATGGTATAATAAAATATTATTGTGAAAGTAAAATTGCAGAAGTAAGTAAACTTACCCCCAGAACTTTTGCTTCTTCTTTAAATTTTGTTTCTTCGGCTGCTGTATTTGGATTTGATATTTGTATACTTGCTTGGCTTTGCTGAAGGTTTGAGTAGACTCCTGAATGAGTGGTGAAAGGCGGCTGAGTGCCCTGAGCTTGGTTTGAGGAGCCTATGACCCCTGGAGGTTGTTGAGACCAAGGTCCCATGGTATTTCCCGCAGGATAAGGATTGAGTGTGGCTTTATGCATTTAGGGTGGCTTCTTGACGTAGACGATACGACTGTATCCAAGATTCTGCAAAACATAGCAAAATGAAACATCAGAAAACAAACTGACGAAGTTCTTACTGACTTCCAACTCCTATTGATATGGATATCTTCTAGGGAGTCATTAAAAGGTCATTGCAAAGGTGTGAGAAAGACCAGATTAGATGTCAGAAGAGCCTCTGAAAATTGCACTAGACCACTGAGAAGTCAAAACCAGGGGAAGAGATGACAAAGTAAAAGCGGTAAGCAGAATAGTCAAAGCACAACACAAGACCACAAAGTGAAGTATCAGAGCAAAATATGCAAAGAGCTGGAGTCAGAAAACCAAAAGGAAGAACTTGCTCATCATTTCTAAAGGTGAAAGAATGATAAAGCAAATTCAAGCCTCAAGCTGCAATACTGAAGGATGCTACAGGCACAATCTTGAATGATCCAGGAAGAAGCAAAAAAAGACAGAAGGAATACATTGAGTTACTGTACCAAAATAATAGGCTGTCAGGGAATCATTTCAGAAAGTAGCATATGATCAAGAACCAATGGCAAGAGAAGTCGTTCAAACTGCACTGAAGGCATTGGCAAAAAATAAGGCCCAGGACTTGATGGCACACCAGTTGACATATTCTACCAGACAGATGTAACCCTGGATGGGCTCACCAGGCTGTGCCAAGGAATCTGGAAGACAGCTACCTACCTGGTGGGAAGAGATCCATATTTATTCCTGTTCCTAAAAAAAGGTGATCCAAAGATCGAAATGATCAAATAATATCATTAATGTCACATACCTGTTCAATCTGTGGCGCCCTGGTGGTTTGTTGTGTGTAGAGGATTTGGAACCCACTTTGATACCTTTGGGATTGCATGCAGTGCAGGCTTTTACCATTAGGCCACCAGAACTCCCTATTCTGGAAGTTTCTTGTGTTGTTATGTGCTGTCTAGTCAGAACCAACTTGTAGCTGAATCTCCAGGGGGGTTTCAGAGGCAGTGAATCAAATGGGAAGAGATTGTTCCTCCTTCTCCCGTGGAGCACCTGGTGGATTCAAACTTCTTGCCTTTGGATTGACAGCACAACTCGTTGCCACTAGGCCGCCAGAGCTCCCTGGTGGTTTGGAGGTAAGGAATAGGGTTGGCTTCATGTTAAGGAATTGTGCTGCCAATGCAAAGGCATGTGTCTTGAAGAAAGTGAAGCCAGAGTACTCCTTGGAGGCAAGGCTGGTGAAACTTTGTCTCATATACTTTGGGCCTGTTGTTAGGATGGGCCAGGCGAAGGACATTGTGCTTGGAAAGGTGGAGAGTCAGCTTAAGAGACAAAGATCATTAACACAATGACAAAAACAAAGGGTGAAAGTATGTAGGAGAAGATGAAGATGGCACAAGATAGGGCAAGATTGAGATCCGTGGTTAGTAGGGTCACTATGAGTTGTAGTTGACTCAGTGACACATAACATCAACAATTTATATTGTTATATATAGGTTGTTGTTGTTGATTGCCTTCAATTCAAACACGACTCGTAAAGACCCTGTGAACAAAAGGCCTGAAGCCCCTCTACAACCATTGACATTTATCAAAGTTCGTAGAGTTTCCAGAAGCATGTTGTTTAGGAAGTGGATGCCATTCCTGCTTCTAGTATATAGAGGTAGAGACTCTGATAGTACTTAAAGCCGTACTTCTGAAGAATAGTAAGGGGTAAGGGATTGTAATTGTCCTTCAAAACCCCTTGCTTCGATTCCCAGAACCTGTGAATGTGTTAGGTTACAGGGAAAAGGGGAATTGATGTTGCTATTCAGCTGACGTTAAAATAAGAAGATTATTCTAGGTTATGTAATCACAAGAGCCCCTGTGATTACAGGGTTTACAGGTGCAGTAGTTGAAGTGCTTGTATACAAAGATTGGATGTTTGAATTCACCAGCCACTCTTGTGGGGAGGAAGATGAGGCAGTCTGCTTCTGGAAGGATCCAAACATAAAAAGCTGCAAAGTCATTGCCATCAAGTCAGTTTCAACTGATAGGGCCATTCACTGAATTTTCAACGCTACAGATCAGCCTCTCGCCCCTCCATGAGGTATGTGGTAGATTTGAACCCCCAGAGACACATGATTTTTTATTAACAGTGCAGTATTCCCTCTGGGGCCGTTCTAGTCTGTCCTATCGGGCCGCTGTGTGTTAGGATCTACTATACAGCAGTGAAATTTTTGGTTTTATGTGATAAAGGTTTTTTAAAAGGAAAAGAGGGAGACAGGAGAGTCAGAGTAAGGTGACTGGTTATAGACACTTTATCAGAGAGTTGCTATGTTGCTGGAGATGGAGAAGAGGCCACAAGTCAGGGAATGTGACCTCCTGAAGCTGGAAAAGGCCAGAAAATGAATTTCTCTGTCTTCTGGAAAGGAACACAGCTTAAGCTTTGTGCCACCGGCACCTCTCATTTAGTCTAAGAATCATGATATTTCAGGGTTGTGAAGGGCCCTTTCAGTCTCCCTGTCCTATTTCACCTTGGTTTATAGAGACATTGAAAGTCTGATGGCTTAAGGGACTTACTCAAAATTACACAGAGAACTGGAGCACTGATTTTTTGACTGCTGGTCTACCGTTCCTAGATGGCAGCCACAGTGCTTCACTTACAGAGATGCCAGCAAGCATGACAACACGGGTGAAAGACTGTATACTGACAAAGACCCAATGACAAAGCCGCTGCCTTCCGATGCTGAGGGAAGCAGCGGGCTGACCCACCTCAGTGGTTTGATAATGAAATCAGAAAAGTTTCTCTTTAATTAGCCTCTGGTAAGCAGCTACGCTACAATCTCAAAGGCACGAGGTTCAAATCCACCAGTTGTTCCATGGGAGAAAAATGGGCATTCTTCTCCTGTGCGATTAACAGCCTCTGAAAACCTAACAGGTGGTCAGTTATCCAACTCGATGGCACACAACAACAACAGCTGCAACAAGTATCTACCGAGCAAGTATCTAGTACAAATATCTAGTGAACATTTACTGTGTGTGCAGTTGAGGCTGTAGGCAGGCACACCTCGTGTTACTGTCCCTGGCTTTATTGCCCTTCACAGACATGACAAGTGTTTGTTTGTTTGTTTGTTTTAAACTGGATGTTGTGGCAACTCAATGACCAAATCTATGTGCCATTTTACCAAAAGTGTGTACACACTTTGTATCTCTGTTATTATTAGGGGCCATTGAGGGGAGTACTACTCATAGTGGCCCTGTGAACAGCATTGCTGAACCCTGTCCTGCCCCGTGCCATCCTCACAATTTCCGACACACTTGAGCCCATTGCAGTCACTGTGTCAATCCACCTGGTGGAGGACCTTCCTCTATTTTCTTTCCCTTCAACTCCCTAGCATGATGTCTCTCTCCAAAGAATAACCCCTCCTAGCACCATGTTCAAAGTATGTGAGACAAAGTTTTATCGTCTTTACCACCAAGGAGCACTCTGGATGCACCTTCTAAACATACCTGTTTATTCTTTTGGCAGTCCATGAAGCAGTCCATAAGATATTCAGTACTCTGTTCCAACACCACAGTTCAAAGGCATCAATTCTTCTGTTATCCTTACTCATTGTCCAGCTTTCAGTAGCAAAGTGAGTGACTGAATCAGGCACACCTTAGTCCTCAAACTGACATCATTGCTCCTCAGTAATTTGGAGAGACCCTTGACTGCAGATGTTCCAAGTACAACATGTCTCTTGATCTCCTGACTGCTGTTATCAACTGTCTTGATTGTGGATCCAAGTAAGATGAAATAATTGATAGTTTACAACTTGTCTCCATCTATTCTTATGCTGTCAATAGGTCCAATAGTGAGAATTTGTTTTCTTGATGTTGACATGCAATTCATATAGAAAGCTATAATCTGTCGTCTTCTGCAGCAAGCACTGCAAGTCCTCCTCACTTTCAGCAAGCAAGATTGTGTCATCTGTGTAACAAAGGTTATTGATGAGTCTTCCTCCAATCCTAACACCACATTCTTCTTCATAGAGTCCAGCACCTCAAAGAATTTGCTCAGCATACTGATTGAGCAGGTGTGGAGAGAGGCTAGAACCCTGATGCACATCTTTTAATCATTTTAAACCATGTAGGCAAGAGCAATTATATCAGTCTGGAGACTAAGGTGCACCTGATACAGGCCATAGTCTTTGCAATTACTTGCTTGCATCAGAGAGCTGGAAAATGACTAGGGACGATAGAAGGAGAATTGATGCCTTTGAGTTGTGGTTCTGGAGAAGATTATTGAATATGCCACGGACTTCTAGGAGAACAAACAGGTTCTTCTAAGAGAGGGTGCGACCAGGCTGTTTCTTGGAGGCAAGGATTCTGAAACTTTGTCTGACATACTTTGGACATGTTGCAAGGTAGGACCAATCCTTGGAGAGGGACGTCATGATTGAGAGGATGGAGGGACAGCGCTGGAGAGGAAGGCCCTCGATGAGATGGAATAGGGGTGGGTGTGTCAGAGACAATGAGATTGGCAAGGGATAGAGCAGGGTTTAGGGCTGTTGTACATAGGGTCGCTCTGAATCACAGGCAACTTGACTGCACACAACAACAACAACAACAAATGTTCCCTTGCTCTGTTTGCATTATAGCCTCGGGTTTTGGTTTGTTTTTTTTCTTATATAATTTTAAGTACAGTTTACTGAAAGATTTGGTTTTTATTTAGTTCAATGTTGTAAATTTCTCCCCCTCTTTCTCCTCTCCCTACTGCACTTTGCAATGCCCTCTTTTCCCAGATTATTATCATACATATACTGTCTAATCATGTATTCCTTTCACAGAATTTTTCCCCTCATCTGTTCCAACACAGTATTCATTATCTATCCACTCTTTTCCTATTCTCCCTCCTAGTCTTCCATGTCAATCCTATAGTGTTATGCACTATTTGTCCTTTTGTGACAGAGATATTTCACTCAGCATAATGTCTTCCAGGCTCACTT